TGATAGGGGCTATTCTTGTGAAGTAGTTGAGAGAGGAATCTCTGAGTGTTTCAACTCAATCATTATTGATGCTAGGAAAAAACCCCTAATTACAATGCTTGAGGATATTAGGATATCTATAATGGGCATGTTTTCCCACATGTCAGAGGAAAGTTTTAAATGCAAATAAAATGTTTGTCCTACTATAATTAGGAAAATAAAGTTGTATGGGAAAAATATGAGGTATGCATCTTACTTATTTAACATTTGTTGTTTCTTTTTTATTATTCTTACCGACTATACCAATTTATCTAGGTTATGGTGTGTTTTTCGTAGTCAAGGACATGTTTTTGAAACTATAAGAGGATGCGACAACTATATGGTGGACTTGGAGGGCAGGGCTTGCAGTTGCAGATTATGGGATATGTCTAGGATCCCATGTGTACATGAAATTGCAGCCATCAATTATATCAATCAAACACCAGATGTATATATTGATGGGTAATTTTCAAAGAAAATCTGTATTCAATTTTACTCCTCTAATATCAGACCAGTGAATGGGAGTAATATTTGGAGCCAAACTGGGTTCATTAAGCAATTGCTTCCTTTGGCTAAGAGAATGCAAGGTAGGCCTACTATCAAATGGAAGAGGTATGCTAGTGAACAAGAGGGAAGGTTTTCATCACAAGGGTATTTGTACCAAGAATAGAGAGATGTGGGAAGTGTTTAGAGTATTGGAATAATCAAAAGGGTTGTAAGAATGAGAAAAAGCCAGTTGTGCCTTTACCACCAATGAAGAAAGGCAAGCCAAGAAAAGATACATTGATAGCTGAACATGATGAAGCATTAAGGGCTTCTTAGTCCATTCAACCTTCAAAGAAGAAAAGAAACAAGAGACATATACAATATGATCCCAAAGAATCATCAAGTTCCAAGGTTTTAAAAGCATCAAGGTCCAAAGTTTTAAGAGATAAAAAGAGTTTATGTATAACAAGGGAGGGTCATGAAGAAGAGTTTACTAAAACTCAAAAAGAAGATGTTTCAGCAACTCAAAAAGAAGATTGTAACACGACATTTTCACATTCCAATAGAATTCAATATAAACCGTCGTTTATAAATTTCGAAGTGGATATATATTACTTTTTAGCCAAATTAATCGACATGGTCATGTAGGAAACATCAATACGATTCCCGTAGATATATAGACTTTGAATGAAGAAGATATGCGTCTTCGAAGTTTCACGATTAAACGGACATGGCTATACGCGTCGTAAAAAATAAATTAAATATAGATTACTTATTAGCATAAGAAATCTAAACAAAATTCGTAGTAATCAAAAAACCGAGAGTGTACATATATAGAACGTCCAAATCTTACTTCACAGGAGGAAGTTATGATTTTTTAGAAGTTTCAGCGAAGCAGTGTGCGACACAGAAACCGAAATTAAGATCGGTAGATTGTTAGGAAAAACAATCTAAACGAGAGTCAAAGATCTCATCCATACCTATCGGTCAGCATAAAGTATAAAGACAGTCGAGAACGGATATCGTATGAGAGAGTTATGATTTTTACAAAGACTTTGACAGTCTAAGCCTGTAAAATTATAACTTTAAAAATAAAAAAAATATTTGATGGAGTTTAAACAAAATTTCTAGATCTCGTCGATAGCTACGCATGGATATAAAACCCATCGAAAACGGAGCTCGTATGGAGAAGTTATACAATTTTTAAGAAATAAAGAAATCCTCGCATGCAGCCGCGCGCACAGATCACTTGTGTGGCGCGCCTGACACCCCCATCCAAATCACGACACATGACACCACACAGAAGGTGACACGTCAGCATGGCCGACACATGCACAACGCGCACCTATTGTGCGGTGCGCTTTCGCATTTTGGCACTATATATAGCATTCACATTTCAGACGTTTTTACACCAAATTTCCTCTGATTCTCTCTAGAATACTTTCTAGTTTTTAGCCCTTTTACTCCCTAGTTCCCGACTACCTTAGCGAGCCCATGCGGTATCAAAGTGACGGTAATTAGAAGCTATCAGATCAGAGTTCTGCCCGCATAATCCCGGTTTTGCTAGAAAGTCTCAGTAAGTTAGGCTACACTTACTATGCTTTAAGTGTAACTTGTATTTATATTCATAGTCGTTATTATCGATATGTAAAATAAGATTTATCAGTAATCCCAATAATAATACTGATCAATCTACTTACGGGAGAGGTATCTAGAATGGTGACATTAGCTTGGTTGTTGGATTTCAGAAAGGCTATACGCCGAAATGGTCCTGCTTCCCGACTATCCGACCTGGTTGATGCTTACTTGATATAACTCTCTGGATTCATTGGGATTAGTGAAAAATCTAGCTTTCATTACCATATTGTCACGCCCGTGCTTCTGGGCTAGGCATTAATGTTGATGTAATAGTCTAGGTTAACCTTTGTAACTCATTTTGAAATAATAAGGATGTATTATTTGAGTATTATGTGTTTTATGCTTAATTATGTGGCTTAATTGAATTAAGAATAAAAATAAGCGTCAAAATGAAATGTTATATAAACCCGATATCTATGAAGGATGTGGTAGTGGTCGTGACGAGGTTTCCGAATCTATAAAGAATGTTTGAAATCCGAGTTATAACGAAGAAGTTATGACCTGTCGAAGTTTCGCGACAGAACCGACACGACGCTGAATGACGTAAAATATGAATTTACGATAAAGCGATATCTAGCCTTAGAGATCTAAACGAAAGTCGTAGAATACGTTAAACTGAGAGCGTGCATAAAAAGAATGCCCGAATCTGACTTCGTATGAGGAAGTTATGATTTTTCTAAGTTTCAACTTAGGAGTATGCAGCCCGAAACTCGAGATTGAGATCAAGTGATATTTAGCCAAAACTTTCTAAATGAGAATTAAAGATCTCATCGATAGTAGTCCAACGGTGAAAAGACAGACGAAAACGGACTTCAGATGAAGGAGTTATGAATTTATAACAGAGTTTTCCTGTCCCGGCCTACTAAAAATAATATAATAATAATATAATAAAAACAAAGTCAAAATTAGCCGACGGAGTCTAAACGAGAGTTGTAGAGCATAGTCTCACCTACGCGTCGATATAAAGAACGTCGAAAACGGAGATCGTATGCGAAAGTTATGAATTTCTGAAGTTCGGGGTGCGAACCCCGATACTGTGTCAGAGTTCACGACGTGAATACAGTGTTCACGACGTGAACTCAGTGATTTGACCTTTCAGAGCGTGTCAGACGCAACCTGTGATGACGCATGCAGTGACGACTAAGTTCACGACGTGAGAACTTAAAATTCACGACGTGAGAGCTGAAAAATGGCCCTATAAATAGAAATCAAGGGTCAGTCGATTTTGGTTGCTCCTCCCTTACTCTCCCACTCCCGATACTCTCTCTAAGCCCTATTTTAACTCCCCGAAGCCCCGGTATCATCCCGAGACCCGAAGCAAGTCCCGAAGCCCCGAAGATCCCGAGAAGTGCAATTCCCGAGCCGAAGCTCTGCCAGCGAGAAGCCAATTTTTGTGAAGATCTTCCAGATCTACCGAAGAATACTACTTCTACAAGCCGTAGTGCTGTCCGATCATCTTCTGATCAAGTGAGTGTGTAGTTACTTTCTTCTAACACATAATTTGAAGTATTTGATACGAAATACGTGTTATGTGTATATGTTTATATGTGTGAATGTATATTCCTTTTCTTCTAACACATAGATATAAAGTATCTCCTAGTGAATACATGCTATGTGTATATAGATATATATTATCCGTTACTTGGAATGAATCTGTATATTTGGAATGAGTATTAAATGAAGATCTTATCAGTTTTTAAGTTGCATATGTATGCATATGTATATTGTTATCTACAAAATGTTGGATAGAACTTGGGTAGATAGTTGTCGTGTGATGAACCGATGAGAGGCCTCGATGTTGTTGTTGATCTAGTCATCTAGCGGAGTATGGATGACGACCACGGACTCTTTCTAGACAGTCCAGTGAAATTAAATATAATTATTTATTGTGGGTTGAAAACCCTATATGCTCACCAGGCTCCCAAGCCTGACCCACTCAGTTTTGTTGTATTATAGGTAGTGGCGCGAGGGCATAAGTTGGATGACTTATCAAGATCTTTTGATATTAGACCAGTTGTTATATGCAACTGTTGTATGGTCTATCTTTTGTTGTTTACGCTTTTGGTCTGTTTATCGGAACATGACATCCCGAATATTGTTATATAATGAAAATGCATCTCTTGATGAAATGCTTTGATAAACTTTATTTTATCATATTTTGTTTTGGGAACAAATTCCGCAGCTCTTTTAAATCAATGGATTTACTCTGAAATTATTTTATAAGCATAAATTAAAACGGTCTTTTCTGGCCGTGATTTTGGGGATGTCACACATATCGTCATAGAAACTTGTAAGTTAAAGTATTATAGGTTAATACTTGTGCGGTTGGTTATCCGCCAGTTGAATCGCCATTAAAATCACTTAGAAAGCTGTCAATCTTCCAAGTAATTGTCCAGGTGAGTTATCTCACTTTATCATGTGTTACTGTATATATCCATGTATGTTAGGACATAACAAGTAATAGAATAGAGCCGATAGTATAGCCTCTAAGTGCCCGTATAAGTAGAACTTAATGTGTAGTCTCTATGTATGTTTATGTAGTTTGGGCGGGGCCCGTTATGTATGATTGGGCGGGGCCCATTAGATTGCGAGGGCGGGGCCTATTACGTAGTTTGGGCGGGGCCCATTTCCATGCATGTATATGTGTTTTGGTGTATGGTATCTTGGGGAACTCACTAAGCTTAGCGCTTACCCAGTTGTTTGTAAATGTTTTTCAGACATTCATGTGAAGGGAAAGGTTCGACTATACACAAGCGCATTCACAACATCTTTCTGCATAATGTAATAATACTCTGATATATATATTTGAATAAATAAAAATGAAAAACAATTGGGTTAAAAATCGTGACGTTAGAAAGATGTTGGTGATGGTATTGCAAACCGAAGGAGTTAATGATGTTATTCAAACTGAGGAAGGTGGTAGTATTGAGACTGAAGAAAGAGTGGTTGATGGTATTTAAATTGAGGATCATGGTAATCGTATTGAGATTGAAGAAAAAGTGCTTGATGGATTCATATTGAGTCTGGTGGTGATGGTATTGGGACTGAAGAAGGAGTAAATGATGTTATTGTTGATCAAGTTGAAGATGGTGGTATTGCTGAACAAGTTGAAGTGGTTCATGTTAGAAATGAAGATGTTTTTCTTCCATTGGTTGGTTTAGAACTACACAAAGTAATTGATGAGGTTGAGCAGTGGTTGGATGAAATATTACGGGAGGGTCGTTTTCAAAAAAAATCACAAACCTATGATGCTACTCAATCTGATAATGGGGGTAATGATGAAGATGTAACTAAGGTTGAGTTTAATAATGGAAAAGATAATGATGTCCTTGTAGATAAGGTAAAGTTGGATGTTGAACATATTGTAATGTTGTTGGAAGCAAGATATAACATGGAAGAAATTGAAGTTATGGGAGGGGTACAAGTGGAACTAGATGACATGGTACCAGTTGAGCTGGTAAGAAATTACTTTTTATTTGTGTAATTGTGTTTAATTATTTTCTTCAATTTAACTTATTTATGTAATTATCAATATCAGGATATGGTAGATGTACCAGATCATCCAATTGATAATGATGATGATGCTATTATCGATGATGTTGTTGATGATGCTGTTATTGATGATATTGGTGATGATGTATTCCAAGATGGTGATAGTAATGGTGAATAGCAACAAGGGGGTGATAATGTCATTTGGGTGATGATGAAGGTCTTGATGATGTCCCTAGAGTGATAATATTGAGAAAACCATCTGAAATGATCATTTTGCAAAAATTGAAGAAGACATTGTTTGACAAAAATGGAGGTGGTTCATATGCTAGCAATCCAATTAGTTTGGAGTAGTTGGTTAAATGATTTGGGGGTGTAGTGGGGAGGATATGTAACATCCAGATTTTCAGGGATATTATTGTATATGTTAACCTTGAGGTTGAAGAAGAGTCACGACGAGTTAAGGGTCCAACTCGCCGAGTCGAGTCGAGATTGCCCGCGTGGATTTAATGAGTGGACTCGACGAGTCAGAGGAGGGACTCGCCGAGTAAGCGTTGGGCAGAGAAACCCTAATTTTCCAGACTTGTGCCCTATTTAAGTGGCCTTAAGTCCTTATTTCCGCCTCCCTCATCACCAGAGAGCCCTGTGGGAAACCCTAGATCAGTTCCATCCATTGTGAGAGAGAGTGGCTAAATTGGATGTTCTTGTGCAATTTTGAGAGGGGACTTGGAGAGCATCTTGGCTTGGATCAAGAGAAGGCTTTGATCTAGAGATTCTTCAGAGTTCTGCTTCAGTTGGAGGTAAAAATATGCTATCTTGATCATTTTCTTATGAGATCTTGTTTTAAGGGAACTTTTAGGGCTTTCTTCCATTTATATTGTGTCATGGGGTGATTTGTGTATGGTTTGAGGTTGGGACCTCAGATCTGGACTATGAGTGGCCTTGTGAGTCTAGAAACCCGAGCTTTATTGAGTTGGAAGCAAGCTCTTGTACATCTAGCCCTTATTGGAGCATGTTTTGGCACTATGAGCCTTATATGCCATGCATGAACGTAAAGCTTGCAGCTTTACGTGCTATTCGAGCCTTAGAATAGTAGATCTAGTGGTTGGAGTGATAGATCTGCCTTAAATCGTCTGAATGAGAAATCAGATCAAAGGGACTCGCCGAGTCCATGAACTGACTCGACGAGTCGGCGAGGGTTTGTCCCGATAGATTGATTGCATGATAACTCGGCGAGTTGGGGGTCAAATCGACGAGTTGAGCTAGACTTTTGAGACTTCTGAGGATACGAGGGGACTCAACGAGTCGCAGGAGTGCACTCGACGAGTCGGGTCAAACATGGACTGTTGACTCGAGTTGACCTCTGTTGACTTTGGGGTTTTGGTCAACATGAGTAATAGAGACCATGGAGGGGTAAAATGGTCTTTTACCCATTTCAAAGAGTTAGAGAGAGAAAGAGTAGCCTTCGGTTACTTGAGTCGTGAAAAGAGTATTAATTAGAGATATTCATCCTTTGTGTTAGGTGGAGGCTAGTTCGAGATCCGAGCACAAGGTTACCTGCTCACCTACTTGCGAGGTGAGTCTTCTCACTATACGTTACCTAGAGTGGTATTTATGTGTGACCGGAAGGTCTTATGTGCTTGCTTGTGCATCTTATCTATATGATATTATGCTATGAATTATTTAGACCGGACCGTAAGGTCCAATGACTTGCGAGGCCGGAAGGCTCAACGAGACCGGACCGGAAGGTCCAACGATTTATGTGGCCGGAAGGCTCAACCAGACCGGACTAGAGGGTCCAACGAGCTAGAACGGACCAGAAGGTCCAACGACTTGCGAGGCCGGAAGGCTCAACCAGACCGGACCGGAAGGTCCAACGATTTATGAGGCCGGAAGGCTCAACCAGACCGGACCAGAGGGTCCAACGAGCTAGACCGGACCTACGGCTCCAACGAGCTACGGGACTGGAGGGTTCCGCTGAGACACAGTGACCAGAGGGTCTTACAGAGTATAGCCTCGAGTGGCGAATTTGTTGTATGTGGCATTTTGGGGAACTCACTAAGCTTCGTGCTTACCGTGTTATGTGTTATGTGTTTAAGGTTGTTCTCAGGATCGCGGAAAGGCATCGGCTTGATTGTACACACCAGTGAGAGAGTTACGTTTTGAGGATCCTGGATTTTAACCGAGTAATTAAGAAGTTTTGAGTTGTAAACTTAATAAAATAGATTTTTGTGAAATACATTATGAGAATTATGTGATTTAAAATGAAAAATTGTTTTGAAAATTCACGTCGTTACAAGTTGGTATCAGAGCCTTGGTTTGAGGGATTCGGATGCACCTTCGGGTAAATCTGGACTCAAACTGAGGAGTTAAGAAATTTTTTTTTCAAGGAAATGATTTTTCTAAAATGAGCAAGAGTTTCTAAGAGAAGACGAGAAGGAGCAGTGTGTACAATCAGCCAGAGCCCGAACGGTGATTTCCGAAAATACCCTATTTGTGCTATGAGACATTTTGTGATATTCTGCATGCTAGAGGATAGGTTAGGTATTTCATATTTTAGGACGAGAGTGGCCTGATTTGTGATGCCTTAGCCTAGGAGTTGCTGTTATCTGTGATGTGCTCCCGAGTATGTGCTGAGTAAGAGTATCCAACAGGAATATTACAGAGATAGAGTTTCGAGTAGAGGAGTAATCTAGGAGAGACACCTAGATGAGAATTGGAGGAACCTACTGAGAGAGTAGCTAGATGCCCGTGTGGGGTAGAGTTGCCTGAGTTCGGTGACACCTGTTGATTATGAGCAGAGTAATAGAGTTGTAACCTAGAGTGGGTTTTACGTGTTTAGTCGATGCCCGAATGCTGCTTGCTTCATGCTTTGTGGAACTCCCGATGATGGGAGTCAGCTACCAAGTGAATGTGACGATATTCAGGAGGTAGATGGATAGCATCATAAGGAGTTCTTCAGCAGCTGATGGCGGGAAAGAGTGAGAACCTAGGAAGAGCCTAGGGAGTGACCATGGTCAGATGAGTTCGCTGACAGAGTAGAGCATTTCGATGGGGAGCGAACACACGAAACGGGATTGGTGATTGAGAAGGTTGAGCAGCTAATTAGGAACTCTGGGATGGTCCGTATAAAAACTATGGGTAGATGTGGCAGGTAGTATGGGCCGTATTACTGAAAGCAGAGGACCCATACTCGATGCAGGGAGTATTCCGGAGGATCTAAATAGCAGATTGAGAAGTGATGTCATGGCTCGAGTACCATGCTAAGTAGCAGATTGAGAAGTGATGTCATGGTTTGAGTACCATACTTTGTGGCAGACTGAGAGGTGATGTAGTGGTTCGAGTACCATGATTCGTAGCAGTTAATGCTTGTGTTTTTCAGTTATTCCGTCGTGATTGATTAGGTGGAGATCGGATGCGATAGAGTATGAGGTCAGAGGGCCATGTTGAACGAGCTTCCACGAAGCATCCCTTGTGAGGGAAGTCGAGATGATTCCAAGGTATTTTTGAGCGAGATGTCGGACGAAGTCACGAGACTCGAGGATGAGTAGAGATGGCGTTTACGGAGGATTGCGGCCTGAGTTGAGCAATCAGCCGATAGTGGAGATGTCACCTTCTGTGACCTGAGTTGTGCTATTTCCGTTTCCTGTGGGAAAACATAAGAGGTGTTGAGATTTCGGTTTCTGAGCTTGGGGGTAAACCCTGAGGGTTAGCATTGATGGCGATCTTCCACCAGAGTATTTGGGCAGTATGTCTGCCGCGAGGTAATGATATGGCATCAGCAGGTTGTCAGTGGGGACTGAGATGGTCAAGGACAAGCATACACCCTATTTGAGTATAGTAGGGCATCTTTTAGCTGCAGCGTCGGATGATCAAGAGGAGGATATTGGGGCGGTGGCTCTTATTGTCTATGATGAGTATCGAGTGTGGTAATGAGGTCTCCGCTCTTATTACAACCCACGTGATGGAACGTTGGTTGAGGAGTCGAGGATGAGGAGTATGATAGTTAATTATTTCCAGACTAAGAGCCATGGTTAATACTGGACAGTTGAGATGTCCGGTAATGGGATAGTATGGGACTCTGAATGACTAGAGGCAGTCATGATGAGAAGTTTCTGAGGATTTCATTTGAGATTCAGGGTATTTGGAGTTGTTTGATCTCTAGCGGGGAGATCATCGAGCGTTGCGCAACACATTACAAGGGTAGGTGCGATGTTACTGGTAGAAACAGTCTGTGCGATAGATTGTTAATGCGCCAATCGGTGTTGGGTCGAACCCTAAGTGGGGGAGAACCGGGTATTTTATTGAAGGGATCAGAAATTTGTTCAAGAGTGGTTAGAGAACTGGATATAGAGACCTGCGGAACGGAGTCATGAGACCAGGGTTATTAGTGGTCGAGGCGAGGTATAGAGCAAGGTAATGCAAGTCGTACGTGTTCGAGAAAGGATGAGGGTCTCAATGGCAGGTGGCTGTTGATCGGAGACCTTGTGGTGGTCAGGAAATTTTCAAGGTTGTAATGGTGAATTCGAGGGGGTTGGCTCGTAAGGTTAGTTCGGTGGTTGAGAATTTCTGGTGCAATGTATGGGCTGGTATATGCAGTTGGGAAGGGCAGAAGTTGATTAGGCAACCAACTTCCGGGTCGTTATGGGTATGTTTGTATGAGTTTTGAGCATTATAGGAGGGAATTTCGGATTGTCGTCAACATTTTCTGGGTCAGTGACCATTTCTCCGTGTTTCAAATTGAGAATTGGAATATTCCGAGATTTCGTGTTGTGTGACAAGAAGATCAGTGGTGAAAGGAATTCTGCAGGGATGAGTTGCGTATCAGAGTATGATGTCGTAAGTAGGAGATCAGTGGTTGAGGCAAGACATCGTGAGGTTCTATGATGGTATACCGAAGTATCCGAGTTTAATGCCTTCGGGTTATTTTGGGTCTTGAGTTTGAGACGGCAAGTGGTGTATCAAGTATCTATGGTTCCAGTGGGAGCCCTTCGGCTAATGGCAGCAAGTGAGGAAAATGGATTGCAGTGAGAAAAGGGGTTTGGTCGTGACGGTTGACGTCAGGAATTGTGATGCATAATTTGGATAAGTGTGAGCACCTATCTATGTTGGTCCGCGGAGCATGAGTTAGTGGACATAGTAGGGTGTTGTGATGCTACGGGGAGCCAGAGTACTCACTAG